GTCTTTGGAGCTTCATATGTGCTCTCTGTTTGGCCTAGTTTCATCTCAATTTTCACCTTATTGACATCGAGTTTAGAGGACTTTTACATGTCTTTGGTTGTGTAAGTGTAATGGTTTCTATCTATCATTTTTTTTGCTTATTGCTCTGTTACTTTAGCATATGCTCTTTGTTCTGGTTTGACTTTATTATTTCGTATTGTAAACATCAATTTATAAAAAATATTAGCTGCCCAAAATAATTGGCTTCTAATATATATTTTACTGAGATTAATATAATTTTCTGTAAATCTGTAAATACAATATCTATTGAAGATCTAGGTATATTAATTTTATTTTAAATTATGCACCATTATTTGATATTATTGAATACCTAAGTAAAGTGGTAAAATATAAAATTATTTACTCTTTAACATAAAATATTTTTGTAAATTCGGTGTTAGTTTTCGTCGCTTTAGAAGTACTACAACAATCAGGTATTATGTTCTTATATTTTGGTAGTGGATAATTTAAAGAGAAACATTTGCTAAATAGGTAAGGGTGTGTTATTGGATAGTGGTTTTGATATTAATTCTCTAGGTTATATAATCCTAGTGTTATTCAAGGACTAATTTTAATTTTTGTTTTCAAATATAATGTTATTGATTATTGTATTTTAATTATTTTTATTAAACGATTTTTAAATATTCTGTTATTAGTTCTTGTATTCGAAATATTTTTAATGAAATAAATTTTTAATTCCTTGGTTATTCAATTAAAGATTTAACATTTTAACTTTTGTGTTATTCATGTTTGTTAGATTTTTATAATTCATCTGATTTAAAATGTTTTGAATGGATGTCAGTCTACTTTTGTAAAACCTTTCGATCAACTTCGTATTTGGTAATGATATACACTTACGATAATGCTAAGCGCAGCGATAATTTCACTAAACACGTTTTCCAAATATGTTTTATCTTTATATTTTTGAACACACCCCTATTTTTCCAAATAATATTTCACTCTATTTGTGATAGTTAAAATAGCATGGGTTGTTTGTTAATTTTATTATACATTTAAATTATTATATTGTAGATCAACACTTAAGACCTATGATCTAACAAGTTCTTTTAAAGTATTTCAGTTTGTCTTATGTCATTGTTATTTGTTTAACAGAGGTGAGTCGTGATTGGAAAAGTGTCAACGCTCTTGAAGCTTAATTATATTTATTAATCATTTGGATTTGTATCGTGTTTTTCCTTTATTGCTAAGTTTTTGAGAAATGAAAGTTTCGAGTAACTCTTTAGAAGCAGATGAAAACAGAGAATATATGTTTTATTTGAAAACGAACATAGAATTAAAGTGGAAATTATTCTTTTAATTTAAATGTATTTTTAAGTAATAATGTAAAAGAAACAATGTACATATTAGTTAGAAATGGGTCACCTACATTGTTCCTCCTGCTGCTACAATCATATTTTGAGATACCCTTTGTAAGCAAGCTCGAAATATCCCATAATGTAAGACTTCAGTCCATTACAAAGTTTTGGTTTTGCGTATTGGTGAATGAAATTGTTAAGATGTTAGTATATTCAAAGCTGTTGGAACATATATAGAGATAAACGAATTCCAACCTTGCTCAAGCCTATGTCTTCCAATATAAGATCCTTGATGTGTTCCATGATCATCTATGGAAATCTCTTATGACTCGGTTACATATTCTGTGTTTCTTCAGACATGAATTGATCCCTGCAAGAAAAGATATAGAGACATTTTGACAAATTGGTGATTTGATCAAAATCACAAACAAAAAAAAGCAAAAAAGACATGAATTGATCCCTGCAAGAAAATATATAGAGACAATTTGACAAATTGGTGATCTGATCAAAATCACAAACAAAAAAGCAAAAAAAACCTCTATTTCTCTTCATCTGTAAGTCTTGAACATAGAACCAAGCAATTTATTGTGTAATCCGTGTAAAGGCTTGCTTTGGAGCTAACTGCTGTCAGTTTGTTTGATACTTGATTGGGCTGAGAGTGTTGTGGCCTAGAGAAAATACATTGATTATAAGTTATCTATTTTCAAAAATAAGAAATACTTTTAGTGGGAACACGCTTGCATTTTTTTCTTTTGGATAAGTCTCTTCACATGGGAACTTCGAGGAAGCATTTGAAGGGCATAGCATCACAAAGTGCATCTGTTGATAAGAAGATGTGTTAAAAAGGCCGTATTAGGAACTATCATATATACTAGAGATATTTTCTGGGTTACGCCCGGATTATTTTCGTTAAATTCTAATTTTATTTTAAAATATTATTTATATTTTAATATGTCTCTAATATGTATTGGAAATTTTGACAGATATATAAAATTTAAATGAAGTTACGCATATTAGATTGTAAAACGTAAATTGTGATAAAAACACATATTACATTATTTAAAATATTATTGCTGTAAAGATAGATAATACTCCAATTATTTAAAATTTTGAACTTTTTTACCTTTTTGTTCATTCTATCGGATTTGTATTGTATAATTAGTGATTATGAGTTTAAATTTATTCTCAATAAAATCAATATCTCTAGAAGTACACATGATAAACATAATTGTTAAATTTTCCTATAATTTCTAAAGTGATGGATCTAATAATTTTATCAATCTGATAAAAGGCAAACAATTGATTTGTTGAATATTTTCAGAAATTTCATAAAATGTTGTTAGAGGTAATTGGTGTCTTTTTGACTTTTATTATTATAATTTTTTTTGCCGAGAAGATAATTGTAGAATTCATTTTTTTAATTTGAGGTGGTTTGTTATTGTTCTCTTTTTGTATCTGAGTGTGAATTTTGTAATTTAAAACGTTTAGTCAAAAAGTTGTGGTTAATCCTAATGAAGATGAATTTTGTTTTGTTAAAAATGTTTAAATTTAAATTGATCACTAATTTTCCTTATAGAGCTTTATTCCGGAGTACATACTTGCATTGAACCAATTTTTTTTTTGTTCAAACACTTCACTCATAATAATTATTAATATAACATTATATTAATAACATATCTTACAGGCACAAACTGGACAAAGTCCTATACAAAAGAAATCAGAAATTCACCGCGGTTTTTGGAATGCTAGTTATTCAACATTGATAATAATTAAACTTCTAACATACGGTATAGTCAATGTTGTCTCACCACTATCACATTTATATTGTTCATTTATCACAAATTCAATAAATTGATTAAGCCTTTTATAGTAGTAATAGTGCTTGCATAATTTACTCATGTCATTGAAATTGCAATTCGTTTGTGGCCTAAAGTTGACCATATTTGTATGATACCGTCGTCTCTTCATGGAAATAGAGATCTCTTTGAGAGAGTTTTTGATTCTCGCCCAGCAGTAATCTGAAATTGATATTATTTCCCTCCACTGTAGTTTATTTAAATATTTTTTTACCCGTTTCAATTTCATAATTAGTTCAAACGTGAAGCGCTGGTTGTTGGGATGGGCTGTTATGGTTGTTATATTGTTTTGGCATGAAAGGTTTTTGTTTGTGTGCATTGATGTTGGGGTTTTCGTGTAGGAAAAAGTATATGCTAACTGGATATTTATTGGGGATGTTGTTATCAATTTGTGACAGGTTTTGATTGTATTGTTAGTTTTCATATATTATAATGTAGTGGGCATCAGTATTACAATGTTCGTATTATTAATTATAGATTGTAATTTGGATGGTGCTGATAACATAATAGGACAAAGCAGCAAATGTAAGTGATGATTCTAATGAAAGTTAATTAACAAATACACTGAGCTCTAATAAAAATTATTGTGGTACTTGCATCGCAAGTGTAGGACTTGAATGCGGGAATGGAGGTTGTTGATATTTGTCTGGAGAAAGATGATGTGGTCCTCTTGAAAATGAGTAGTAATAGGTGAAAAGATAATTAACTTTGCAGAGAGTTGAAAGAGACCAATTTCTAGTATGTCGTTCTAAATAATCTGGAGACATCATGACGTTAACTAAGTAGAGTTAGGCTACTAAGAGACTTGGTTACCATAAAAGTTAAAATATTGTGTGCATATCCTTCTTTCTGCCTTCACCTTTGTTTTGATAGCTGGAGAATTTATATTAATAAAGTATGAGTGGTTTGGTTCTCAGTATGGTACAGTTTTTTTTTTGTTAGATGATAGTCTCTTTCACTAATAATGACCAATAATAATGTTAATCACTTTCACTCTAATTTTCATAACCTTGGGATTTCATATAGAACAATATGTAATATTAAAAACTCGAATTGTTTTCTGAGAACAGAACCAAAAGTCAGAAAATCCGTAATTTGATGGTGGATAAGTGTCCTAACCCTTATTTGGATAGCCTAACTGAGTGCAACATAGATATGTTCCTGCATAGTTCTCCATGCAGGAAATTAAACATTCCGGGCCTTCTAGGACTGTGGATCATTTACATTCTCACTGATAGGTTCCAGATGGTCAGTGGTTGATGTTGGTTGCACAGCCTCTGCAGGTACAATCGTCTCATCAATAATTTCAGGGGGATTACTGCCTGTTGAGGAGGAATCACTAAAATGGTACTTTTAAGGAACACAATTTCCCCCATGCATATCATCATCAGGATTGTTGCCCCCACCCTTAGGACAAATAATATAACTTGTTAGTAGTTAGTTGTATGAGGATTGATACATTAAAGGTCTTATGGAATTATGGTGAGAAGAGAAATTGACATCAGTAAGCTTGAGATGAATGTGTAGCTCTTACCAACAATGTCTTGTAGGAAGTGAGGGAGATCGTATCAGTGTCCCTGAAGTTGATCAAAACACACATTAGTAATTCCAAATTAAATAACAAAAAGATCCTGAAGGATAACTCTCTATCACATGTATCATCTATCTCAGTATCTGGGGATGATATACTTCCAGATGCTTCGTCAGTAGCAGCATTAGGAAGGTGGCCATTTTCTCTTCCATTGTGAATCTTAGATGAAGCTTGAACCCTGTGTAGCGGGGACAGAAATCAAGAGATCACTGCATCAACGTCAGATCCACTCAGTGGTTCTGTGCTGACATAAGTGACAAAAGGAGTCCCGAAAAGCTTCACGTCTCTGCGTTTAACACTCTCCAGAACAGCCCTATGGAATCCAAGAGTTATGACCCATCAAGAAGAGTTCTTGAGTAAGAAATTAACCCGGCACGCTCACCTTTCCTGCCCTCCATGAAGGATTTCAAGTTTTGCTACTCCGGATCCTTTCTGCATCTGCTTCATCCAATAAGCCACAATATGCTCATCATCTTTTATCAAACTCACCGACTCCAGGGGATTCTCAAAGTATCTAAAGACCTTGTGGTCATATACCTGAGAGGGTAATGCCACAAATTACTGAGGGAATTCAAAAAAATAAAAAAATTGATATTATAAAAAAAACGCGCCAAGAGTCATACCTCTGCAAGTAAAAGGCTCTCGTCATTGGTTAAGCAACAAGCAGTACCTAACGCAGTAATAAGATCTCTACATGATCCATATTTAGGTACTGTTACAGGACTCCGGAATATAAAAGACACTGAGGATTAATAAAATCGTACGAGATACTTACTTGGCAGACGTTAACTATTACAGAATCATTCCGAGCCTTATGATAGTTCCAAAGCTCTTCAGCAACCTCATCATCCGGACGACTATCAGAATCTTTGAGTTCAATGTATGGTTTTCGTTTCACCTTATTCAAATCTTCATGTAGCCCATCTAATAAGAAAGCAAGCAGTTCCTGAAACAATATTTAATACATCATACACACAAAGAGGAAGGCCAGGAGGGCCCTTTGCCTTGAAACTACATAATTGTTCCAATTCAAAAAAAAAGTTGCGAGTACAAATAATAAAAGGAATTATGTTGTATCAACAGATATAATATATATTTGGGGTTATTACCATCTCCGAATCCTTAACATGGGATCAAGTTATCTTGATAGGAAATCTATAAGGGTTTGGAGTTGTTTCAATGTAATGCATGGATCTTCATACCAGATGATTTTGCTCCTAAATAAAATCACCAGACAAATTTCAGATCGGAGCAGCATTTACTTAAAATCTAGACTTAAAGATTGGATATACATAAAAGATCATAACTTGTCTAACCTGTCCACTTGTTTCTCTTGGTGATATCAATACCAACAATCAGAATCAAGGACTCCAAACCAGTGAAAGAGCAGCAGTAACCTGTTGACAGAAAACGAAATCAAAGCAAAAACTCACACAAACCAAGACAAAGAAGTTTATCTGATTCAAAACCTCATTGATGGAGCGGTAGTTATCACCAATCCGTGAATGTTTGATCTCAAGATTCTTCTGGTCTCCATATTTCCCCCCAGAAGAAGCAGATGCTACTGAGAAGAATTTCACCTTCAAGGGTTCAATAGAATCATAGCAATATGCCACGCCACTCCACTCTTGGCACAGTCCCTATGGTACACCAACACGAAAAAGAGAGCAGCTGGAAAGAATATGAGAGCATCAGACGATAAAACCGTCCATCTCATCAGTAGCTTTCTGCACAAAAGAAACTAAATTTAACTCAAAACACACAACAATAACAAAAGAAGGAGGCTTTATGGCAAGATTTAACATCTGTAGATCCTCATTATACGACTTACCCATGATAAGATTCGTGCTCGCGAGAGCTAAGAAGAGAAACGGACTCGGGATTGAACACTCGGAGTAAGACCCCATGGATGTAACTCTGGTAAGCAGTTAAAGGAGGGTAATCGAGTCCCCAGTAAGTGAGATTGTGAGTGCCGTTTCTGTACCAATCGATCGGATCAGTAATGCGAAGAGGGAGATGCAGAGGAATGAAGTGGTGGTTCCTTTGTGTGATAGCCACCACCAATTGTCGATCGGAGGTATGTGTAACGGAGCGGCGGTGCCATCGCCGGAAAGATTCAATGGATGGGCAAACGGAAACAAAATTAGAAATCGAAAGCGGCCATCAGGTATGTGTAGAGAGAGAGATTGGGAAGTTGAAGAGGAGGTCGCCAGACTGTGGCTTGGGGATTGAATATAGTTGCAACGCTCAGAAACGACGCTCATTATCAATAGAATACAGATCGAGAAATAGAATTGTGATTGCACAGAGATGGAAAGACGGAGTGGTGTCGATGGATCGAACTTCGGTTGAGAAGATAGAATGCCGAATAATCAGAGAAGAATCAGAGAAGACACGGGGTCGAACAAAACGAATCTAAAACAAAAGAACCCAATAAGATAGACTTTAGTGTGATGACGTATCCAAATACAATTTTTCTATTGGTTGAATATAATTGTCGACTTAGATAGCTTCACAGGGCTTTGTATAGCCCTTTTAATAGTGTTAGATAATCTATGCAACACTTACATTGTCCCATCTTCATTATGGCGTCAATTTTGCACACGTAACATGAAAGCTTTTCTTGCAATTTCCATTGTATCAACTAGGATTGTCAAATGGGTTGACCATGCCCATTTGGGCAATGTCCAAATGAATAAAAAAGCTTATCGGATTTCATTTTTCAAAGCCCAAACTGTACCAGACCAAATTGTCCAAAACCCAAAAGGACAATTCCAAATGGGCTTTCCATGGGACCCAAAAATTAATAAAATTAGTGTTAACACACAAAAATTTATATTTTTTGATATATAATCCAAAAGCATAATAAAGTTGATACATAATCAAAAAAATATAAGTTTCATACATAATGGAAATCAAATAAGTACATAAGTCTCATCTTCTATATATTCTTATCTTCTCCTATCAAACAAAAAAAAAGAGAAAATTGCAAATTAAGAGACACAAATATATAAAACAAGAGACACACAGAAAAAATATGTAGAGTTATATATAAATGATGTAGCCAATCCACAAACGTGAAATGATCACACAATTAATGTAAATTGGTCAAATTCAGAGGATTTACAAAGTTTATTTGATGCAAGTTTAGATTCGTTTCATTCGTACCGTCTTACATCCTCCATTACAAGTTCAGGTTGCAGCAGCATCCTTGACTACAAGATGGATACATCACAGCACTTTAGGCAACATAAACAAGGAGCAAAATCAAGAGTTTTAAAACAAACAGAGAAGACAATTTAATTTATTACCATAAATGCAAAAACAAACAGAGAAGAAGTAATGAAGAAAACGAGTTGAGGAGGTTTTGGTAATACATCACCACTCACCATTGTACTAAACCTAAACCTAAGTCCTAATGATCAGATACACAAACTCAAACCATCAATACAAACCACAGAAACAGTTTGTCCTAAATCCTAGTGATACTAAACCCATCATTCAGTTTTTTCTTCTTCCTCATAAACAAGTGACACAAGCATAAATTCCAAGTTACCTTTAATTGAGCCAGACCTTCTTCCTTCAATTTTCTTCGGTTTCCTCATCTACGCCATCTTTCTTATCTTCCTCATCCAAATCACATCCATCTATAAAACAAGAGAAGTTACTCATAGTTTCAGTCACATATCAAAATTCTATAATAAATTCAACACTCACCAATCACTTCATAACCACGAAGCCAGTTTCTAGCACATATCAGAGCTTGAACATTTGATGGAAAAATCCGGCTCCTGTACTTGCTGAGAACCCTTCCAACACTAAAGGATGACTTTGACGACACTGTTGTTATCGGGATACATAGCACATCACATGCCATTTGAGACAGCTCCTTAAACCTGCTGGAATTGTCCTTCCAATAATCAATAACATCTAAGCTTGGAAATGCTACCATATCCAGCAGTGGTTCATTTAAATACACATCCAAAGCAGATTTCCCTGTTCCTCTTTGTTGAGAGAAAAAAACATAGAAATCCTACAAAGCAAGAGATTTATTAGTTGATCAATTACGAAAAAAACACATCCAAAACAATGCTTTAAAGAACTTACAGCGTAACCAGTAGGTAGATTATCTGAAACGGCTTCTTGTGAGCTCTGAGCACTAGTATTCTTCTTTTTGTAAACTCCATACAGCTTCGTCATCTTTTTCCTAATTATGTGATCCATTTTGGATTTACAACTTGCTGGATCTAGACTATGGTAGCAGTACTCCAAAACCTTAAACTTTAGCCTAGGATCTAATATTGCTACAATGGCTATAATATCATTGTAATCTTCGCAGTATTTTTTGAACTTTAATCTCATGGAAGCCACCATTTCAGCAATCAGTTCATCTTCATGGAACTCATTTGATCCCAACCAACTTTGAATTTTCCATACTTCCATAAAATACAAATTCGCTGTAGGGTATTAAGAGCCGGAAATGAGCTTTGTCATCTCATCAAACGGCTGTAACAAACCACAAATCAGCTCAGCTCTTAACCATTTTTCCTCTGTAGGCAAACAATGGTAACTTGTCTCGATTTCTGCAAGATGCTTAAACGCCTCTTTGTAGTGAACAGCCCTAGAAAACATCTTAAAGGTTGAGTTCCACCGTGTGGTAACATCTAAAACTAAACAACCTATCTTTTTAATCCCAGCAGTCTCTACGCAGCCTTGAAACAAGAGCTCTCTAGACTCCGTAACCTTGACAAACTTAATGCTATCTCTGATTTTCTCTAAGTCCTCACTTATCACCGATAACCCATCTTGGACAATAGGGTTTAAAATGTGAGCAGCACATCTTATGTGAAAAAACCCACCACTGCAAACTAAATTCTTTTTAAGATGCCTCTTTAGAAATCCTTGCATGTTATCATTAGAGGAGGTGTTATCAACGGTTACTGTGAACACCTTCCTATCTAAACCCCATCCTCTAATCAGCTCTATCAGTTTCCTAGCAATGGCGGGACCAGAATGGGGAGGAGAAAAAGCGAAAAAGAGAGAATCTTAGCTTGAAATTTTCAGTTAGCATCAATGTAGTGAGCAGTAAGACAGAGATAACCTTCAATGGTTAAATTGGTTATTGCTCTCCACAGATCAGTAGTAAGACAAACCCTACCCGGAATCTCACTTAGGACTTCAACTAGCTTCATTCTCTCTCCCTCAAAAACCTTAAAGACATCTGCAATTGCTGTGTTTCTACACCAGAACTGGATGGTCGGATTGGCATAATGAAAAGCTTCCCTAACCCTTCTATATTCGACAAAGGAATAAGGGAGATCATGCTCGAAAATAGTGACAACAATCATTTCTCGAAAAACTAACTGATCTATCTTCTTAGCTTTAGAGGTACTAGCACTACCAGGGGTTTGAGAGCACCGTGTGGAATGCCTAAGAAAAATAGAAGTCCCACTTCTATGCAAATCTATGTTGTAGTGATGTTTACAGTACATGCAAATGATTTTGTATTTCCCACCAGGCTTCCTCGCTCCTTCTATGTCGAAGTTATTCCAGCATTTAGAGTGTCGACGCTTATGTTCATCTTTCACCTCAGCAGTACTCGTGAGAGAATCTTCCACAGCAATAGGATTGTTCTCGCATATAGCATGTTCTAAATCATCATCATATCCACTTAGGTAGTCATCATCATCGTTCAAACTCAGTATGTTCCTATCCATCTGTAGAATCAACACAAAGAAGATACAAAGGATCAAGCTTACAAACAAACGAACAAACACTCAACACAAACCATCACAGAAACAACACATAGTTACTACTTACTATAAAATAAAGATATAGAGGATCAAGCTTAAAGATAAACCAAAATAACTTCTATAAACACATCAGCACATGAGAGTACAAACACACATAATCTGAGAGCATATAACTTTGAATCAAGCTTATCAACAAAAAAAACTATTATTATTTAGTCATCACTCATCAACAAAACGTCACTTATTATAACTTATAAGAAACAAACTCATCAGTCATCAGAAACAATCGATAAAATCAAAAGACACATGCAATCAAACTTGAAAATCAAACTAAAAGCAATTAAGTAGAAAGCCCAGATTCGCAAAACTCATCAAATCGAAAACCCAGAATCAAAACATATCAAAATCAAATCAAAGACGAGAGAAAGTGAAATTCAGAGAGTTGAGGCAAAGAGAGGAGAGCCGAGACGAAGAAACGTGGCTCGAGAGACGGAGAGTTGAGCAGAAAGTCGAAGACTCGAAGCAGAAAGTGGAAGACTCGAAGCAGAGAGACGAGAGGTAGGCCTGGGCATTCGGGTACCGGATCGGATCCGGGTAGGATATTTCGGGTTTTGGATATTATGGATATATGAAATTTGGAACCGTTCGGATAATTTTAAAAACCGGATCGGGTTCGGGTCGGGTATCTGTCGGATCCGGTTATTATCGGGTATATCCAAAAGAACCAAAAAATAAACGGTTCCGATTCGGATTGTGGTTATTTTACCCGAATATAATCAAAATGTACTTGTTTTAACCAATCTTATCCGAACCATACGAAGTAAGACTGAGACTTGTTTAATTTTGTCTAAGTTTGAGACGCATAAGTGAACTTAGCCACACTATTGTTTCTCTTCATAACATAAGTACCAGTTTGTTTGGAGAAGCATGAAACCATATGAACTTATGAAATAAAACTGAGACAGTAGAGTAGAGAAGCATTAAACAAAATCAAACAAGTCTTAAACTTCAACCAAACACCAAATCCAAACAACATTCCAAACAGAGAAAACATTACATAATCCGCAAAAGCAAAGAAAACATTCCATAATCCGTGAAAACTAAGGGAAAATCCCTAAACTGATCCGAAAAAAACAGAGAAAAACAATCCATAA